GGGGGGTCCCGCACTGCCTGACCCTGCGGGGCCAGCGACAGTCCATCGTCGTGGCGGCCAGGTAACTCCTGACCTCTCCCCTGCTCCCCCCCCCCCCCCCCCCCGCTGTGGTCTGAAGACCTGACGCCTGCGTCTTGCTCAGCTCTAGATCCGAGATGGAAAAGTGGGTTGAGGATATACAAATGGCCATCGACTTGGCAGAGAAGAGCAGCGGCCCCACCCCCGAGCTCCTGGCCAGCAGCCCCCCTGACCACAGTGAGTGGGGGCGGGGGGGCAGGGGACAGCGCTGGCTTATGGGGGGAGGGTACCCCACTGCCCTTCAGAATCACCCTACAAGGTGGCCTCCTGTCTGTGGTTCATGTTTGCGTTTGAAGCTAATAATCAAGGACCTTCCAGTTCCTGAGGGTAACAGAAGCCCCCCAGAGCAGCGTGAGGGAGCAGGGAAGGCCTCCCTCCTGGGCCAGCGTGGAGGCCTGCGTGCAGGGGGGGGACCCCAGCCCCAGCACTCACGTGCGCCAGGGGCTCCCCGGCTCGCGCCCCTGGGGTGGGACCCTGACAAGGAGACGGCTGCCAGGGCGGCGCCCCCCCCCCCCCGCGCAGCCGCGCCCAGCGCCGGGAGCGGCCGGGTTGAGGGCCCTGTGCCGCCCCCGCAGAGTCCCCGGATGAGGCGGCGGCCGACCAGGAGTCGGAGGACGACCTGAGCGCGTCGCGCACGTCGCTGGAGCGCCAGGCCCCGCACCGCGGCAACACCATGGTGCACGTGTGCTGGCACCGCAACACCAGCGTGTCCATGGTGGACTTCAGCGTCGCTGTGGAGGTACGGCCCCCGGGCGGCGCCCCTTCTCCGCAGGCCCTCCTCTCGCGGCGCGTGGACAGAGGCCCCCGTGCGGGCGGCGGGGTGTAGGTGTTGGGGGCCCCCCATCCCCCCAGGCAGGCGCGCAGGGAGGCAGTGGGGTCGGAAAGCATGGCGCCAGCCGGGGCCATGTTGGGCGCGGTCCGTGGAAGAAACCCTGGGTCAAGGCCACACGGTCATCCTCGAGGCCGGGCTGCCGCCCCCAAACCCGCTTCTGGGGGCACCGTGTAGCGGAGGCGCGGGATTATCCTGTTACACCTGGAAGGTTCTGAATTCCTAAACGGGCCTGGCCCGAGCAAACGTCCCAGGAGGCCGTGGGCCAAACGGCGCTTTGTTCTGGTGTTTGAAGCAAACCCGCCCTCAGGGCAGCCCCGCCCACCCTTGGGTGGTGGCAGCGCTTGATCTAAGAATGGGGTTGGACGTTTTTTTGTTTTGTTTTTTTATGTTTTATTTATTTCTGAGAGAGAGAGAGA